TACTCACCTCCTTCTGAAAGCTCTTTCCTCACTCCTCATTTATGATTTAAAGTGAGTCACTTGAAGGAGTGTTTGTGATTTGTAGTTTTGTGGGTGCCTCGTGGGCCATCAGGAAGGTGAGTGTGGCTGCCCTGAGCACACCTTTCTCTGCTGAGGAGGAGATCCACCAGGTTAAACCCAGTTTCCTCTGCAGCAGGGGTGTGCCATGCCCTGGCAGTGGGAAGAGGAAATCCAGTGACTGAATTACCTTTAAGAAGATCAGCCACTTTGGCTGTAGCTTTGCCTTGTCCTCTGCCCCTAAACTCTTACCTTAAATTGGAGGAAAAAAAAGGAAAAAGGCAGCCAGGTGTGACTGCAAGCCACTGCAAGCAAGTTGTGTGCTTTTAGTGTGTGGAAGCTCCCAAAATACATCTGTGTTAGTGCAAGTTAATTCTTTATTTGATATTCTCTAACCATCTCTCCCTCTCTTTGTGGAGAACAGGAGGTGGTCATGGGAAACAGGACCTTCTGACTTCAGTGGCTGCTTGAATGGCTTGTCAGAGTCCTTTAGACTCCTTTTGCATCTTTATTACTGAAGTGGCATCCTCCCTTGCTGAAATTTCCATGGAAATATGTTATTTTTCATAATGTGGAGTAGGTCACATTAAACACAGTAATAATCATTCTGGGGAAGAGTGAGTATTAAAAGTAAAATGTTACTTTGGCTTCTTTTCTTCCAGTGGTGTGTAGTAGTTAATCAACACTCTTAGCACTACTGTCAGGATTAGTATAGTACATAATTTTAAAATGTAAATATTTTATTAAATCACTTTAATTTCTAACGCTTTTCCGGTTATTGGCAAAACTTGAAGTTAAAGCATGTATTGAAGCAAACAAAACTGTTCATTGTTCTTATATGATATTTGAAGTCAGATATAATTGATGGTTTTCATTAATGTCTTCAAGTTGTTAAGCACTCATCTTCATGAGTCAGTCAGCTGTAACAAATGATATCCTTGAAAGCAGAACATTAAAGCGAAGGAAAGCAATTAAGCTGTGGTGTTGTCACAGGTTTTGTTGCTGGTGGTACCTTAGGGTCGGTTGCACAGCCCTTGGGGGGTGACTGTCACTGACACCTGGGTGTTTATTACCCTGCAATGCAGCTGAGACCTCTGGGCTGTGCCTCAGGGGACCATGGCTCAGGGATGTGGTTACACGTGCCAGGGTGCAACATGGAGAGCTTTCCTTTCGCTTGTGGTTGTGACTGGAAGGATTTTCCCCTCAGGTTTTGGTTTGTCTGCAGTAAAACAGCTTCTGATCTTTTCTTGTACTGTTTCCCAAGCTGGTGAAAAGCTCTCCTACCTATATTCCTTGCCTGCTGTCCCTGCCTCTTTTGTCCCTTCTTCTTTTCCCTGGTTTCACCTTGGTTTCCTTTCTGATACAGTTCACAGCCAGAAGCTCTAGTCAGGAGAGGCTTTAATGTCACACAGAGTTGTAGCAGAGCCAGAAGGAAGGCGAGGGGTGACACGGGTGTGCAGGGCTGCCTGCCCTGGGCAGAGGCTGGCCGGGGGCTCTGCTCAGCCACAGCTCCTGGATAACGTGTGGGTCAAGGAGAAGAAATCCCGGCCTCTCGCACACAAGTGTTTTTCTAACAAACGCCTGTTTTTGCCTTTGCCTGCTCGGCTCTGGGCCCGGCGTGCCCTGGGCTCGGCTCTGGGCTTGCCTGCTCCTTGCAGGTCACTGACAGCTCCAGAAGCACTGGACGCATGCCATTTGCTCACATCCTGCTTGTGCTCAGTCTTTGAAAGCCAGAAGGAAAAAGTGTTCATTTGGGCTGATTTGCATCTGGAAGCCATGCACTGTTCCTCTTAGACGTGCCCAGGGACAGTGTACTGAATGGTGCTGAAATGAGGTGGTTTGGAGGTTTTCCCTTGCAACACAAAATGTCACATTAAACTGGGCTCAAATTTAGAACCCATAGTGTTGGACTGCAGCACCCACGGCTGCAGATCGCAGTGTGGGAGACCAGTAGCCACCACAGTTCAGACCGTGACTGTGTGCCTGTGTTGTGCAGCAACTGCCTGGACTGTCCGACCCTCAAAACAGCCTGGGGAAAAAACCAGCTGCCTTCAGGGCAAAGGGGTGTTCCAGAAGGGCTGGTGGTTAGTGGTGGGAATGCTGGGCTAGGCTCTGGAAATCGGGGCTCAGTTTGCATTCATCCACGAGCGTCCTGCGTGACCCAGAGTACGTGCAGCACATCCTCTGACAGAGGCATGCCTGTGCTTGGGACAGGCTGCGGACACGGCGTCTGGTTCTCCTGCCCAGGAGGGGAGCGTTTTGGAAGGATGCTCTGGAGGTTCTGATGTTGAAGCTAGAGCAGTGGAGGGCTGTGGTGGCAGGTGAGCATGGCTCTGCAGCTGGAGCAGGTGTGCAAACGGGGAGCTGGACTGTGTGGGCCATGGAAGAGAGCCACGGCGATGGCTTGTTCCGTCAGCTTTAGCTCAGGAAAGGCAGAGGAGCACCTCGTGTGGACTGCACCACAGCCTGGGTGGGCATGCACCACCCTGGGTTCTGGAGAAGCTCCTGGCCAAACAAAGGCTCAGATAATCTGAGCTGTGTGAGCCTTCTGCTTAACCAGAGGTTCTTGGCTCGCACAAGCTCAAAGCAAAACCAGATCTCTTTAGTTATGGGAGTAAGTACAAGCAGGGAAAGCTGCTCCGTGTGAGTCTGCGCTTTGGTGAGGCTGGCAGGCAGTGTTTACAGGATGTGGAGAACATCACCTTCTCTAGAACGTTCACCCTTGGTGCGAGGCCGCGCTCTGGCACAGGAGGGGCCGATCACAGGCTCTGGGTGCCATGGGAACACGCAGGATCCAAAACCTGTTTGTTGTACTTTGCCTGAAGTAGAGCTGCCTCTACATGTTCACTCCTCACTTCCCATTTTCTACTGCATTCTTGAAAAGATTTTTTTTAATTGTCTTGGAATGCTTGAACGTGTTGGCAAGGCTCTCACATTAATGGCTGGGCTCTTTGGTGCACCTCTGTACTGGGCTGGTGGCATGGTTGGCACTGCAGTGGGTGAACAGTGGAAGCACACAGGCGTTGGGAGCAGGACCTAATTCTGAATTCTTTCATTAAAACTTTTAAAGTGATGTGGTGGGAGCTTATTCTGAAGCTTTTTGTTTACCTGGTGTGGCAAACTCTCTTAAGTTTAGAGGCTTTACCAATCCTTTTGGAAAAGCAAAACTAGTTTTCCTGTGGAAGCAGCTCAGAACTGTATGCTGAACTCTGCGTGTCAAGTGAATATGAAAAGAAATAGTACAAAAATCACTTGAAAATCTGTACTCAAGTACCATCAGCCAGCATTGGCTTTGTTTTAATTACTTCAGAATTTTCATTTAAGGACAGAATTTGTGCTTTTCTCAGACTCTCTGGGCAGAGAAGACCTTTCTGTGCACTCTTGGGCAGAGAGCTGTCATTGGGTCCAGCACTGCATCCGCTTTGCTCAAAGAAGGTTCCCTCTGACAAAAGCACAGGCTCTTTGTGTCCCTGATCTAACTATTCAAAATGGTTTTTAAAACCATCTGTTCAAAGTGAAAGTTTTGATCCACAATTCCTATTGTGCTTTTTATTGGAGGAAGAAATTGAAAAACTGTTTGGGTATTTTTTATATTTATTTTTAACTTCAAATGCTGCCAGACACATGAAGAAGTCAAGAACTGGGTGGGACTGTATGATAGGACCAACCCACGCACTTCAGAGAACTGGATGTGACCCAAAAATCTTCTGCTAAAACAAGTTTATTTTCATGAACTGGCAGTGTTGTTTTTCTGGGCTGGGAGGACAGGCTTGATCCTGGCTCCACTGCTTGCCAGGCTCTGAAGCCAGTTCTCATTTGTCTTGTGGGACAGCCTTTTAGCAAAAAGGAAAATACCCTTTTCAGCTGTCCTTACTAAATATTAAAGTATTTATTTATGACTATTGTGCACCTTTTACTTATCTCTGAAAAGAAAGATCTGTAGTTCCTTGCCCACTTTTTCATAGATTACATGAATGTTGTGTGGATCTGGTTGTCCTTGTAGGCTGTTACTATGATTGTAGTGTCACTGAGGTGTGTGAAGACAAAGTTGTCTCCCAGGATGGATGAAGACAGAACTGTATCAGCCAGGTGAAGGGAGACATCCTTGATAAGTAGGTGAATTTCAATGCAAGACTTGCTTGTGGTTCTTAAAAATAATGAACTTCTGTGAACATTCAGTGTTGTATAATGAAAGCGCGTATTAAACAGATACGGGTAGAAACTGCTGTGTTCAGAGCCGTGCAGGAGAGGTGCATAAGGAAAGGCCAGAGAGCTGTGGTACCTCCATCGCTGGAGGGACTTGGGAGCCCTGAGCCCCTGGACAGGGGGAGACTTTGCTGGAGCAGAGAGTGGACCTCCAAAACTCCACCACATTCTGTGACTCTGTAGCCAGACATTATACATTTTTTCCTTGGTTTTATCTTCATTGCTGATGCCATTGCCCATTGCTTTCCAGCACTTGCTAAGGATGACAGCATACTTCTCTGTTCAACATCTTGTGGCAAATCCTCATTCCCTTTTTATCTGCATTTCTGTTATGGATGTAGACCATTTCCAGATGCTTTGCAGAGTGACTGGTCCAGGAACTGGAACGTGTGCATGTTTCCCTGAAAACTGGATGAAAACCATGCATGTTGTCTGTCAGCTTATAACGTCTCTAAATATTGGGAAAGCTTCCTCGTGCTCTCTTGGTGTGTGGGAACTGGAATGTCCAAGTCAGGCTTGCAGCTCTGATGGGTTTTGTTTGTTTGCTTTTCTGTTGACATTTCAGTGGCAAATAAACACGCTGTTCCCAGTTACTTCAGAAGTGGAAGGAGGTGGAAGAAGGTTCCAAGTGCCCGGGACTGTAAGGGCAGTGGATCCACAGGGTTTACTGGCAGCTAATGCGATATTTACCCCAAAAGGAAGCTGCAGTGGAGGCATGTGCTGGGAAGTGATTCAAAAGCAAAGAAATTGCCATGGTTTGTGTGTTTCTTTTCTATCTACTCGTGTGCTTGCAGCATTGCTGGTTTTTGCCTGAAGAATGATTGGTCCAAACAGCTGTGCCGACACCTGGGAAAAAATGTCATAGGACGGAAAGTGAAAAGAAAGTATTCCTCTGGACTGACGTTTTTGTTCAGTCCCCGTGTCATGTGCAGCACAGAGACCTGCCGTTTACTTGGGAGTGACTCAGCTGGTGCAGCCCGAGCTTCGGCCAGCGCTCTGAAGCTGCCGGTGGGCCCGGGGCTCGGCAGGGCCCGGGGCTCGGCCCTGCAGTGCCGCCTCCCCGGCAGCGGGGCGGCTGCCGGGCCTGCCCCTGCCGGGACTTCCCGGCCTGAGGGCACAGCTGGCTCCCGCTGCCTCGGCGCTCCGGGCCGGGCCGCCGCTGTGCCGAGGGGCCGGGCTCTCCCCGTTGCCGGGCCGGGCTCTCCCCATTGCCGGGCCGGGCTCTCCCCGTTGCCGGCTCTCCCCGTTGCCGGGCCGGGCTCTCCCCGTTGCCGGCTCTCCTCTCCCCGGGGCCGGGCACGGGCGCTCCGCTGGGCACCGGGGCGCAGCCGGGGCTCGCAGGTGGTTCCTGGGCAGCGAGTGGCCCGGCCGAGCAGGGACAGCACACAGAGCTCGGGCGGTGTCACGGTGCTCTGGGGGGGCTCCCGAGGCCGTGGTTATCGGCAGTGTTGTGTCTCCATCTCCCCGTTCCCTCTCTGCCAACAGAAAGCAGCTTTACATCTCTGTGAGTTCTTTATTGGAGGAGTGTCTGTCTCGCCTGCTGCTCGAGGTGGTGGGCATGGGTTTATCCTGAAAGCCTGTGCAGGGTCGTGTCCTAGAAATGGAGAGACCCATCTGTGCCACGCACCATAAACACGCTGCTCGGTATTGAATGGTTTGTGACTTAGGTACACTTCTGCAGTGGGATCCAGAAATGGGAACGAGGACTGGAGCAGAAGAGGATGGATGGACAGGGCTCTTATCCAGAATCACAGCCATCTCCCTGCGATGTCACACAAATACTGAAACATTAATGTGTATCCTGCATAAGAGATAGTTGTTTCAAAAAACAGCAAACAACTAAAACCCAACCAAGAAAAAACCCTAAGCAAATCCCTGAACTCCCAACCCCCCAGGCAGTTAAAAGTGAATGTTGTGTAGCCTCAAACTTGGCAGCCCTGAGCCAGCACTGCTCTCTCCCTCACACCAGTGTCTGTCTGTCCATTGGTGCCTCTTGCCCAGGTGTGCTCCAGCTGCACTGCTCTCCAGAGTTTAGAAATGCACTTAGTTGGTTGTGTGATGGGTTTTTTTGTTTCTTTGTTTGTTCGCTGGGGTTTTTTTTGTGGTGGTGGTGTTTTAATTGTTTTGCTTTAGGAGTTTTGGTTGTGTGATTTTTTAAAAATATATTTTGAAAGGAAGTGATTTCTGACAATGAACTTGAAGGAAATGTAATGTGAACAGGTTGCAATAAATACTGTTCCAGTGCACTGTGCTTGAAGTTAGTTATTAGAGAGGTGGTAAATCTCTTTGGTCCTTTTAATGCTCTCCTAGGTTTGGAAGGATAACCCAGGCTCCATGGTAGTGAGTTTTCCTGGAGCAGTGTTCTCCCTTCTGCCTGTCTTGTACCTTTCTCCTCCTTTTATCATTACCTGTGCCTCAAAGATGGATAAAAATTGAAGTTCTCATGTCTAAAGCCATGTTGCATAAATACTACTGTATGTATATACAGAAATCTTGTATATAGCAAAATGTACAGGCTGTTTTGGGACCTCAAACAGGAGCAACAGATGAACTGAGCTCAGGTAGTACTTATGATTAATTAATGTTATGGTGCCTGGAGAGTACAATTGGCAGTATAAATGCATTGTAAATGATAGTGTGAACTGAGAAGACAAGGTCTCAATATGGGAAAGCAAACTGTTTTTAAAATTGGTTGTGTGATGGTTTTTTTTGTTTCTTTGTTTGTTCGCTGGGTTTTTTTTTTTTGTGGTGGTGGTGTTTTAATTGTTTTGCTTTAGGAGTTTTGGTTGTGTGATTTTTTAAAAATATATTTTGAAAGGAAGTGATTTCTGACAATGAACTTGAAGGAAATGTAATGTGAACAGGTTGCAATAAATACTGTTCCAGTGCACTGTGCTTGAAGTTAGTTATTAGAGAGGTGGTAAATCTCTTTGGTCCTTTTAATGCTCTCCTAGGTTTGGAAGGATAACCCAGGCTCCATGGTAGTGAGTTTTCCTGGAGCAGTGTTCTCCCTTCTGCCTGTCTTGTACCTTTCTCCTCCTTTTATCATTACCTGTGCCTCAAAGATGGATAAAAATTGAAGTTCTCATGTCTAAAACCATGTTGCATAAATACTACTGTATGTATATACAGAAATCTTGTATATAGCAAAATGTACAGGCTGTTTTGGGACCTCAAACAGGAGCAACAGATGAACTGAGCTCAGGTAGTATTTATGATTAATTAATGTTATGGTGCCTGGAGAGTACAATTGGCAGTATAAATGCATTGTAAATGATAGTGTGAACTGAGAAGACAAGGTCTCAATATGGGAAAGCAAACTGTTTTTAAAACCTCCCTAAATTTCAGTGCCTGATGCAGAACCTGGAGTACAGCAAGTGTCTTACCTTGTGGAAAAAATGCAAAGCAAATGTTGAAGGACATGGCATTAACAGATTATTGAAATGCCTGGGGCACCTGACAGGCTGTGGCTGCTGTGTGAGCAGAGCTGGAGGTGCCTGTTGCTGGGAGCGTGGGCTGGGTTTAGACAGCCTGCTCTGCAGCTTTGCTGCTCCTTCTCATCACATGCTGCGTTTGCTTAAATACTGTAAGCAGGAATAGAGGTGAGGCTACTTCAGGGAATGCCGCATCATCGGCGAAGTGGCCGTGCTCTGCATGTTGTTTGTTTGGCACATGAATTGATGAGTTGTTTAATTAGTTCCCCCCGTTAGTTCCTGTGCTGTTGGGTAGCTCAGTGCTCGAGAGGCTGCTCGGTGCTGGGCACTCTCTGCAGAGGAGGTCAGCACACAGCTAGGTTTGTTGTGGAAGTGAAGGATGGCAAGAACCAGGTCTGGAAAAGCCTGTGTTGCTCATAGAACTCTGGAAATGGCTGGGATGGGGGGGTTTTGCCCAGCAGGTGTGCTGATAAAATTGAGGGCCACAGAAGTGTCTGCTCTCCAGACTGCCTGACATTTGCTCCTCTGATAAATTGCAGAGCACAAACCAAGGCAGGGAGCAAAACTGGCCTGCTTTCATTGAGCAGTGCTTCAGACTTTCACTGGAATTTATTGCTGCATCGTGTTTACTTCTTTGAGTGTTCTTTGGAAACACAGCAGCGTCAGAGTTGGCCTTAAAAAAGAAGGCAATGTGCAATTTCTGTTCTACCTCATTTTGTTTCATTGAATTTTTTTTGAAATGTGTCTGCCATCCTTGTTTGGCAAGCCCCCTGAAATCTCTAGCCACAAGAAGCTCTGCTTGCCATCCGTGAACTGGATTTTCTTTTAGTTTTCTTTCCCAAGTTGCTGTTCTTTTTTTAAACTCGACACAGACATTCCCAGCAGTTGGGTTTGTGAGAGCAGCCTCTGTGAGTGGCTGTGCCTGTGAGCAGAGTTTGAGCCCAGAGCTCTGCTGCTCCTTTGGTTACGACAGCCATGCTCTGTCATGGAGCACTGCAGATAACAGGGAAAAGAAAACATGCCAGTTCTTGGATTTTTACCAAGTAACTATGAATTTTGGTAGTTCAACAATGTTTAGGACTAGCATGTCTAGAATAGACCTCTTTTAATTTGTCAAACAGAATATGTTATTTTCGAGATAAACCAAATTTAATACTCTGCTAGTTTTTAAACCTGACAAATAGCTAAAGGTAAAAAACCCAATTGCTGTATTCTTCCTTTAGAATGATTTTTATTAGTTGGTGTTGCAGCAATGTGTATCTCTTGTACTGATGTCAGTCCTTCCTACTTGTCAGGGAGAGGAACTGTCACATCTTTATATTTAGTGAGTGAAAAGGTTAAAGTGCACTGTTCTTCTCAATTAATGGATTTTCATCATGTGTTGAACCTGGTCTTCAGTGTTTTAGAGCTGCTGAATCTCCCAGTTGAACTTGGGCTGTACCCCAAGGCTGGGCCAGAGGCAGGTGATGCAGGTGTTGCTGTGTTTCTGGTTGGATTCCTGTGGATGGGTGGGATGTAGGAAAAGAGAGAGTGATGAAGGTAATCTGACCCCTAAGGAGCTACAGCTGTGCTAATGAGCAAGAATTAAGAACAGACCTGCCCTTAATAGGCCACAGCTAAATCCAATGAGGATGGGTATTGTAAAAGAGTAGGTTGGCTTGTGGAGAAGTTAGATGGAGTTTGTTGGCTGTGCTGAGAAGGAGTCAGTGCTGTGAGGAGCTGCCTGTGAGAAGTCACCAAGAAGGTATGAAACCTTTGCAATAAGATGGCAACAGATTCCCAGCAGTAGATGGGGGAAGGAGGGTTGTGCTGCACAAGGGGCACAGCCCTGTGGGTGCTCCTGTGACACTGGCACTTGTGTACCAGGGCTGTGGCACAGCCCTGTGGGTGCTCCTGTGACACTGGCACTTGTGTACCAGGGCTGTGTTTGAAGGCTCTGGGCTCAGCTTAGGTTGTCTCCAGATATGGGTCCAGGTGCTTATCTGGCTGATTCCTGAGAGCATTGTAACTTGGCACTTGGAATGTTAGACATGAACTTGTAATAACAATCTTAATGAAAATGATGTGAAATTATTTATCAAAGTTTTGACCTTGATGTGGCTGCTTCTATTTCTTGCAGAAATTAGTGGGTTTTCATTAAATATCACACAAAAACTGTAATTGTGTACAAGGGAAGACAGAATGGAAAGATGATGGGACTAGTGTTTGTAGTATCTGTTCTTACTGGTTTATCAGCATGTTCGTTTTTTTTTTAACTTGGCTGATTAGCATGATGCTGTTACTTACATTATTTTTTTTAATGGGAGATTTCATAGGATTTA